TGAGATTATGAGTCTACACTCTTAACCACTCGGCTATCCCTGCTTCAAAGCCATACTATTTTGAATTGACTAAGTAAGATAAGTAGTTGTCTCAGTGAAACACTTAAAGGCAAAGCCCGCGATCTTTTACCATCACAGATAGCGGATTAAAGGTTTGCATATATGCAGAGGTCAAGATGCTGAGTAGCTCGATAGTGAAGAAAAAGAAAAAAAAACATACCAACTGCCTCGGATAGAACCCATTTCAGTCCCAGATTGTACGTGCCCAATTCACTCCATCTCCAACACTGCGCCCTATCCGCACAGCTGATTCCCCGATAAGAACTCTACGACCGTACAAGTGACGATTTTCATGCTTTTTCGTCCTGCAGCTTCGTTTTTCACTGAAAGGCGGGCCTTGAAGGCGGAGTCTGGAGGCGGAGTCACTGGAAAAAGGAGGCGTCACTGAACTTCCTTACAATTTTTCGCCGCATTCTGTGCAGTGACCAGTCATTGATTGAGTGGAAAGCGGCAGGAAAAGGGTCAAGCATCACGTCACGGGAAATTGAGTGTTGGTACGACCCCTCCCCTCCCCCCCCCCTAAAAAGGGGCTTGCACGACATCTCCCCCTTTTAGTAGATGTGTGATGTGTGTGAAGGTATCTGGTGTGTTCATAAAGATGTAGCTGTATATGCTGTGTGGTTATGTGAATTTTACCAAGTATCTAAATATCTAGGAACATGTACCAGACCAATCGAGCAAAAACACTGAAAACTGAAAATTTAGTTACTAAGAACTAGTATAATGCACGAAGTGGATTTTCGGAAGAGTGCAGTGACTCCGTTGAAACGAAACAACACAAAGTCGAGGCACTGAGCACTCTGCGAGTGCGCGCAAATCGAGATTCGACGGTATCGGCCCACTGCATTCACATAGTATTATTCGAAAGTGTATAACTTCATTTAGAAACCATCTTTCGCGAAGCGGTGGAGACATTCGAGTTGTAGGCCAGATCTATACGAAACCTACTTCAGGTTTCATTGAGCATGCATGACGGCTTCTGGCCAGAAAATGACGCGGAGAATTTCGAGCAAACGCGGTTTTTCACATTTCACTGGAAATAACTTCGTCCATTCGTGATGTAGATAGCGTTCTACACGTCATTGAGAACTAGAAGGTTTTCATTTGAATGAGCACAACAACTTTGCCGTAGCTCCATTATTGCGAAAGTTCGCCCGTCGCGGATTTCCGTTCGTAAGTCAGCTTTAGCCGCAGCATGAGGACCTCCCCAGATGCAATGCCTACACTTTCCATCTTAAAAGCTCGGTATTCTTCCCGTGCTCCTCGTCATGTAGTGATTAGGAACTGCAGCAAAGAGGCGCTGTTCAACACCTCCATGGAATGCGCCATGTACTCGACTTCCTTTTCGAACGCATGCATCACTCATCCTGCAATCTACGTCCCTGCTGTATTAGGTACTGATCTGTACAAATACAACTCCCCTCAGAAAAGAAGCCAAATGCGACTCCGTCATTGCGGATTCCGCGACGTACAGTGCGTAACAAAAGTATGTGGACACCTCAAATTTTTGTCCTGCAAAATTGCCTTTGAATTTTGCGATATGAGACCTTTATTGTTGAATTCCTCATAAGCGAAAACATAGGAATACACTACTTCTAAACACTTTGTGGACTACTGAACAATTATTTATTGTTTTGAAAAAGTTTCTTAATAACAAAAGTATGTGGACACTTAACAAAAAACAAATGTATCGTGGAAAATAGAAGTTGGTTCTTCCTCCAGTGTTCACTATTGCTTCGAACATGCATGCTGTGGACAAGATTTGTCATGGTGTCTTCGTCGATTTCCTCCCATGCAGCAACTATTGCCTCCTTCAAGTCTCGCACGCTGTTGTACTGCCCACTGTTCATGTAGATTCGTCGAACCATGATTCCCCACAGGATTTCGGTTGGGTTGCAGTCAGGAGAACACGCCGGCCAATCAATCACTTTGATACCATTGCGTTGGAGCCATTTTCTAGTAGAATTTGAAACATGCACGTTGTCCTGCTGCATCACATGTGTCCTGCGTCGTAAACCGCTCAGAAAAGGCAAGAGGTTAGACTCAAGCACTCCTTGGTATTCCTCACTGTTCATACAGCACGATGGGAAGGCAAGCTCCAACTTTCCTCTGCTTCCAAAACCACCCCGTACCATCAAAGAGGCGCCTCCGAAATTTCGTCTCGAGAACACCAACGGATCGCTACAAAGGCCTTTCCAGTGATGCTGATATCCATCTGGACCGTCGAGATTGACTTTTCTTATCAGTGAAGATAACCTAAGAAAGAAATGCGCATAAGATGTTGCCTTTCTGATTTTACAAATATCTCAAGAAACTGCACCTTGTCCCACGACGTCGCCATTTTTGCACGCGCAAAGTTCAGTCTTGCCAGCTGGTGCCTGGCAGTCAGACAGGGAGCTTTCTTCATGGTCTCTCGAGTGATGTGCTCACTTGATCGAATAGAGCGCCATATTGTCATTTTTGAGACCGGTAGATTCATCGCGGCATGGATCTGTGCCACAGAAAGCGGGGAGTTTGAGGCCATTCTTCTGATGTCTTTTGCGGACAAAGATCGTGGGTGCCTCGAAACAGGTACTGAGTGGTAGCCATCAGGATTCTGGAGGTATATACCAACGCACGTCGCCGAAAGTCCAAGCTGTCTTGCAATTTCTCTATTCGAGTGTCCTGCAGCACTGAAAGCTCGAATCCGAGCTCGTAGAGAGGACTACCACGACGAGGCATGAGTACAGGTTAATGGGGACTAGAGACCATAAAAATGGATTGCAGATCTGGAGCCAAACTTTGGACTTTGTCCACATACTTTTGTTATTAAGAAACTTTTTCAAAACAATAAATAATTGTACAGTAGTTCACAAAGTGCTCAGAAGTAGTGTATTCCTATGTTTTCGCTTATGAGGAATTCAACAATCTCATATCGCAAAATTCAAAGGCAATTTTGCAGGACAAAAATTTGAGGTGTCCACATACTTTTGTTACGCACTGTATGTTGAACCTGCATTACACTGTCACAACTGCGCTCATTCGCAATAATCAAGCCTTTCCTCTCCAAAAACAAGTGTTTTATAGTAGAAGTAACCCAGGAGTTCTTTTCGCAGCGCAGGCTCGTCTGGGATACATTTAGCCACAATTCATCAAGAGACAGTTCCGCACAATGATTTCCAAGTGGAAGCACACATACACTGCAGTACAGTGCACAATGCCCGTTCGTTTCCAGGTCAAAGTGTTTTGTGGAAACAGCAAAAGCAGAAGTTATGAAAAAGATTTGAGAATCTATGTCCGCGCTGACAAGTGGGCGTGGCCGTCGGGGCGGGGCTCGCAGTGATGTCTGGCGTGATCTGCTGATGGTGCCCGCCCTAATAGTGTGGTTAATCGATGCGAAAAGTGAGGGTGAATTTGGTTTGAAAAAGGGTGAATTTGAAGTGGAAACGGTATAAATTTTGTGGCGCTTCCTTTCTGACGGCCCTTATCACTCTTATCAGTTGTCACTTCCTCTCACGCACTGGTAGTGTTCCGATCCTGCCGCACATGATTGGACTTCCTAGAACCAATGTCGGCGCAGTTTGGCGACGGGGGAGAGTCCTTTTGCACTACTGTTTCCCCTCAACGTGTCGTTCCATCTAGAGAGCCTTTTCTTGAATTGACATTTTTTTACCATGATGGCGCGACGAGCTTACTCCTGCTTCACAAGAGTCCGCAGGTTTCACCAGAGTGAGACATGCTAACCGGAACTGAAAAAGCTGTGAATATGCAAAATGCCCTCCCCCTCCGTCGCCAAAGTGCGCCCCATTGCCTCAAGTTGCTGTAGCGGCGCAGTATGAGTTTTGTAGCGCCTCTTTTCAATGCTCAATTATTCAGTTAAACAGTTGTTCATCGATGCACTCTTACTACTTATGTTCCCTTCCCATCCCCTATAATATTTATCAATTTCAACTCTGCCTCTAAAACGGAAGACGTTATGAATTTGCGATCACAGACACACACGCGCGCACACACACTATGCACACGATAGATAACTTAGAACGTATGTATTGTAGGATTAACCGGGAGCTAGAGGCACTGAGTGAGCTTTTCATTCATTTTTCACTAGTAGCAGTAACAGCAGCAAAACCTTTTCTACCTGCAGTTTCCACAAAACGCATTCCTTCAAAGGATGACTCTCGCATTGCTATTCGTGGAGCGTAGAGCTTGAATACGATGTCAAGGTGCTTAAGCGACTTCGATAGCCAGAAAAAAAGAAATGAAATTCTGTCAAATGGCCCAAAGTAAGAACTTGTTAGTGAGCGTACTGGGCACCTCCGGCGAAGATACACCAGTTTCAACAGAAACAAGTGGTAGTCAGCGAGAGAGGAAACAAATGATGGGAGATCTCAGTGTAGATGGTAGAGCGAGATGGAGATAACCAGCTGGGGCGGCGGGGATAGTTAAGCGTCGCAACAACTTCGGCAGTCCTTATCAAGCAGTCTCGATATTGACACCTTTTCATTGGCATCTTCTCCTAGGACTTGTGCAATTTGGCTAGTCGCAGATTCTGTTTGGACAGTTGTGCCAACAACATCTAGTAGGAGAAAGCCAAAAGTGAACATGAAAACCGTCCTTGGTCATCGTAATCCAGCGACATGGATTACGATACATGCGCACGGATTACATGTCATTCGTGCGCACTTCTGTTTTCGCGCTATTAGCAAAAGCAGAGTTCCAAGACTAGGAAAACATCTAAGCGCTGCACTATTTGAGCCCCGAAGAAAAAATAGAGCAGTATTGGCAATTAATCAGGACAAGAAAGGGTAGATATCCCTTAAATTCAGGACTGAATGTATTTATTCTCACAGCAAAATACCTATTAATGATTGCTCCCATAGTGTTAAAGCGGTGTAACTGCCAAAGTCAACCGCCAAACGGATACTTCAAGTAACTCGCCAGTGCTTAATTTTAAAAGATAGCTAGTTTCGCGCGTCAAATATATCAGAAAGTGATGAAGACCCAAAATACTTTGCACAAAGCTTCGTTATTCTAATACAATTTACCATAGCATGATGATCGCCTTCAGGTTCGAGGCCTCTTAGCAAAAAATCTCCATCGTCTTTCATTAATCCGACTATATCTTCAAACGGAAGATAACCATGATACCATTCCTCTTTTTCTAGGTCCTGAACCTTTTATTCTCCATGTGATCTATAAACTTAATCCTTCAGATGTCTAGTAATTACCGCCAAGATTTTTTCTAATGAATGGTCCAACGACAGAATCGGGTCCTTTCTGCTTTTACTAGACTGTTCCTAAACTAAGATTAGTGAGTAATCTACAAGGTTGGCGGGAAAGTTCTGTCATACTTTTTTGAACCCAAGTCTTCGCCTATTACAAGAGGACTAACCAGTGATGTGAGCATTTATACATTAAGGACTTGATCTTTCTATTAGTGTCACTGGCTCGGCTCCTGCTCATCCTTATTCTGCATTATGGACAAGAATGTTATCCGCTACCTTCAGCACCGACCCCTTCAAGCGCTTCCTTAAACTATTTCTTCTACCACCTGGCGCCAGCATGGCAGCTGTCGACGCCGAAATAATGGAGCTGCACAAGGACAATGTCTACAGTCATCAGACAATCTTCCACGACGCTAGCTCTTCAGAGCGGGAGCCTACGGTTCGAATGACGAAGTGAGGTTCGGGAATACATAAAATCTCCAATGCTCTAGAATAGCGGTGGGGTCGGGAAACTACTGGATGAAGAAGCTGCCTTCTCGGTCAATTCGTACGCAGGGCAGCTACGAGATCTGAAGCGAAGCGTCAAGCAAAGGCAAAATCCATCGGCACAGTCCGTCTTCAACGTGCTGATGCAGCACACCCGTCAAAAAAAGTTCGAGCCGTACTTCATGCAATAGAGCTGGATGGCTCTCCCCTTTGCACCGGTGTAGTCCAGACATTGCTCTTTCTGACTGCTAGTCGCCTCCCGTATTCAACCGTTATACAGCCGAGAAAACCTCCACGACTTGAGCCCAAGTCAAAGTTGAGATGATGTCCAACTTTGCGTCGCGCCGGCGTGCATTGTTAAAGACAGTTGGCACGAGACGACCCAAGACGACTAGGATCAATACTCCTGGCAGGATAGAATTCCGCGACAATGGGCAGGCGCTGCATAGAGATTTTCCCGCATGGAAGGTGGCCCTCATAAGGGAACTATCGAGCCACAACATTACGTCCCAAACGCCCGCCACACCCGCCCGCCACAAATGGGCGACCCTGACGCTAGTATTCATTCATTTGCTAAGCAAATTATGAAGCGAAGGGATTGGTATGAAGCATCCGTGATGCTGTATGCATATGTACACATATGCAGCCGTATCTTCGGTACCGGTGATTGATAAGATGCCACGGGAAACTCGTCCGAAATCGATTTACAAGTCACTGAGAACGGAGGCTTTTTTTCTTCGCAGGATTTTGACCGTTTCACTCCGTTCTTTCGCCATTTCCCCACTATACAGCGCCCTACTAGCATTTTAGGCTAAGTAGGAAACCATCGTGCCAACTGCCTTTGAAGGCATGGCATCTGTCCAAAAACTGGCAAGGATCTCTCAATAACATTGCTGTATAATTTTGATCTTGTACGCCTCTCTGTAAAAAGAAAGTCTAATTTGAAAAAATGTGACAGAACTTTCCCGCCAACCTAATATAAAGAGTGACAGACCAATAGCGACATACATTAGTGTGTGCTACAAGACTCTTCTCGCTATTATCCGAAGTTTGCTTCTCCTTAACTGACTTCGATTCCTGGCTTGGTCGTGGGTCCTGTGGGAGGTCGTTCAATAAATGTGGATTTTGAACAAGACACTCTCAATAATGTCTACCATGACATTTCGGATGTCCTTCCATTCTCCCGCAATCAGAGTGAACGATAAGGATGGCACCCGCGAAACCACCTACGTTTGGCTAATAATCATTTTTTTAAGTTGTCTTGGCTTAAAGTGATGAAAATTTGTATACACATGGACTTGAAAATTCGTTATTCTGCACATAGTCTCCCTTCCCTTCGTTAGGCAGCGTTCATACTTGTAGCGCTACAGCGTCGCGCTACTGCGTCGCGCTACAGCGTCGCGCTACAGCGTCGCGCTACAGCGTCGCGCTACAGCGTCGCGCTACAGTTGTACCGAACTCCAGCTTTTATGTTTTTTCTTTCTATATCATCCTCTTCTCTTTGTTTCTCATATTTATCTGATAGTGAGCTCCTGTTTTCTACTTTATCACATTTTGATGTAGTTTTTGATACAGAAGACTGTGATAATTGGTTTTATTTATCATTTTTGACTTTAATTATTTGGTTTTGCTTGCTTGTTTAGTGGCCTTTTGCTTGATGTCTTGCAGTGCTGCCTCGTTTTGATCCCGATTGCGAAACTACATCAAATGTGATAAAGTAGAAAACAGGAGCTCACTATTAGATAAATATGAGAACCAAAGAGAAGAGGATTGAATACAGAAAGAAAGAATACAGAATCCAATGCCGCTTATCGATTATGGAGCGAACTGCTTTTAGAGAGTTTGCCCCCAATCTCTGCCTGGATCACAGGAAAAAGATTTATGCCGGTTTTCGAGGCATTCACAGCCAACAAAGCCTGACAGTTTCTTGTACTTTTTTTGGCCTAGGAGAGTATCAGTATTGAGTCGCATTTGTCGGCAGCAGAAAAAAATGGCCTTATCTCCCACAACAGGCACGCGAAGACTGTCTGATCACCAATGCGTTAGCACAATGCAAACAAGAAGTTCCTTTATGGTTCTTGTGTCTCCGGTAAAAAAAAACATGCATGCGTGTTTTAGGTGGCGCGAGTACTCTTTGGGTGCTGGCTGTTTTTGCAGAAAATGCTCTTAATAGGACAGAAGGACACTGTTACGCTAAAAGCAGTACCAGAGAACTAGTGGAGTAACTGTCAAGGATGGCGTCAGATAGTTACAGCTGTATCAGTCTCACCTTTCCGTGAATTTCTCAAGAAAACTCCAGCAACCTTCCCACTTTTCTCTGTAAGCAACTCTAATCATCCTAACGTTGGAAATTGCAGTACGTTGCGAAGCGGCGCTGTAGCGCTACGCTGTAGCGCGACGCTGTAGCGCTACGCTGTAGCGCGACGCTGTAGCGCGACGCTGTAGCGCGACGCTGTAGCGCGACGCTGTAGCGCGACGCTGTTAAGCGCCGAGCAGTAGGCGCCGACGCTCTGTAGCGCGACCGCGGTGCTATAGCGCGAACGACTGTAGCGCTACAAGTATGAACCGCTGCCTTACGCCGTCGGATGATGACCATACACATACGCACTTGCTAATTTTCTTCTTCCACAGCTATAGACATTTCCCTACACAGAAAGGGCGGAGAGATGGGAATCCGGCTTTATACTCAGGCAGCCTTTTTAGAGGCAAAACGGGCAACCCTTCCTGAGGGGTGTATGTCGGGTGGCGTGGTGGCAGCTGTTATACCGTAACTGGGACGCTGCTGGCCGTAATTGCTTTCAAGAGTTCCTAACAGTTTTTTACATCTCCGTTCAACACTCAATGTAACAGTATTCGTGAGTAGGAACTGACATTCTGGTCTGCTGATGAGTGACATTTCTCTAATTACTCCCAGGAGATTGACGATGTTTCGAGACGATGTACGGGAAATTTTGTGTCTTCTTTGAGCATATCAGACGAAGTCAGCAACGCCGCACTTTCCATCATTCTCCTGTGGCAGTAAACAGTGAGAAATGTCATTCATCAGCAAGGTCAGAATTTCAGATGATACCCATAAATACAGTTAAGGGGCTGAATTTACGATAAGGGTTTCACAGAGGCAATTTGGCATGTGGGAAGAATAATGTTTTACGCCTGAACTGTCTCTAGTTGTATAAAGAATCCAGAAAATTGTCAGGAAGTCGAGCGCAAACCTTGAGAAGAAATGAGCTGTGTGAGAACTTAAAAGAAGATGGTGTCATGCTCCTATAATGGTCATAGAACTATGCTCTTCCAGCAAGCAAACAGCATGAAATTGAGTATTCAAGCAACCCAAGAAAACTTACCAGTAGCAGAATAATAGTGGGGTTCGCAATAGAAGATTGGGCGGAAGAAGTCGGAAATTAGCTCAAAAACGGACGAGTATGCGTAGTTAAGTCATATGTCGCAATGCTGGTGTCTTGCCAGTGTTGGTCAATTACGAGATTCACGGTGATAAGTTGGCCGTACGACGTTGTCCTATCCAAGAGGGGCTGAGTGAAGGTGGCAAATAGGGCCAGCAGCGTCCCTCCCAGTCACGGTATAACAGCTGCCAGCCACGCCGTTACAACCGCCTACCCTTCCTGA